TCCGCTCATCAGCTAAGCAGACACTATCTGCACTAATGCCCTCACTAAATGTAGGGCCCTTGCTTCTGCCCTGAACCTTCTCTCGTCTCGTGGTAGCAGAACCTGGAACACTACAGGTATACTTCGTGTATCCCCCCATTTGTCTCTTATCGTCAGCTGTGCCTTCACCACTATCTGATCCTCTCATCAGCTAAGCAGACACTATCTGCACTAATGCCCTCACTTGGTCCTACCACAACATGTGTTTGACCGGTTTGAAAAATAATTAAAAATAAATTAATATCTGGCAAGCCACCTAGGCTACCGTTCAAGCGGTATCAACAACATACTAGCTAAGCGCTCGCGGTGCGGGAGGTGCGGGCCATGCCCGCAGAAATAAGAAATGTTGTAGGCAACCTGACACGGACCACTCGCATAAACCGAGACACACTTTAAAACAAAACAAAAAAAAGGAACAACAGGGTAATAAGGAAAAGCCTAAAACTGGCTACGTACAGGAGAGTGTGGTAGAGTGACGTAGAGTATCGTAGAGTGTCATAGAGTAGAGTGTCGTAGAGTAGAGTAGAGTAGAGTAGAGTGTCGTAAAGTAGAGTAGAGTAGTGTTGTAAAGAATGTCGTGGAGTGTCGTACAGTAGAAAATAGTAGAGTAGAGTAGAGCAGAGTAAAGGGAATAGAGTAGAGTGTTATAGAGTAAAATAGAGTAGAGTAGAGTAGAGTAGAGTAGAGTAGAGTAGAGTAGAGTAGAGTAAAGTAAAGTAGAGTAGAGTAAAGTAAAGTAGAGTAGAGTAGAGTGTCGTAGAATAGAGTAGATTGTCCTAGAGTGTCGTAGAGTGTCGTAGAGTGTCGTTGAGTGTCGTTGAGTGTCGTTGAGTGTCATTGAATGTGCTAGAGTGTCGTTGAGTGTCGTTGAGTGTCATCGAGTGTCGTAGAGTAGGGAAGAGTAGAGTAGAGTGTCGACAAGTGGGATAGAGTACAATGTCGTCGAGTAGAGTAGAGTAGAGTAAAGAGCCACAGCGTAGAGTAGAGTAGAGTAGAGTAGAGTAGAGTAGAGTAGAGTAGAGTAGAGTGTAGTATAGTAGAGTAAAGTGTAGTATAGTAGAGTAGAGTGTCGTAAAGTACAGTAGAGTAGAATAGAGTGTCGTAGAGTACAGTAGAGTAGAATAGAGTAGAGTAGAGTAGAGTAGGGTGGAGTAACATGAAGTAGAGTGGAGTAGAGTAGAGTACAATGTCATAGAGTAAAGAAGAGTAGGGTGCCGTAGAGTGTCGTAGAGTGTCGTAGAGTGTCGTAGAGTAGAGTAGAGTAGAGTAGAGTAGGGTAGGGTAAAGGAGAGTGTCATAGAGTGTCGTAGAGTGTCGTAGAGTGTCGTAGAGTGTCGTAGAGTATAGTACAATGAGTGTCGTAGAGGAGAGAAGAGAGTCATGGAGTAGAGTAGACTACAATTGAGTAGATTGTCGTAGAGTAGAGTGAAGTAGAGTAAGAGTGTTGTCGAGTAAATTACAACAGTGTCGTAGAGTAGAGTAGAGTATCCTAGAGTAGATTGTCGTACAGTAGAGTGTCGCAGAGTAGAGTAAAGTAGAGTAGAGTATCGTAGAATGTCGTAGAGTAGAGTGTCATAGAGTAGAGTGTCGCAGAGTAGAGTAGAGAAGAGTGTTATAGAGTGTTGTAAAGAAAAAATTCGTAGAGTGCGGTAGAGTAGAGTGTCGTGGAGTAGAGTAGAGTAGAGTGAAGTGTCATAAGCTGGACGCTGCGACACTCTACGGCACTCTACAACACTCTACTCTACGACACTCTACAACACTCCCAGAACTGCTGGCCACATTGCTTCCTAAGGGAGCGGAGGATCCCAACGCCTGCCCCATCGTAGGCGGGATCTTCTCGGTAACCTTCTTGTTCCGACACTTGAACTGATTATGGCCATATTGGCCACAACGGATACAAACCTGCCGGGTGTACCGGTCTCTCCACACATCATCTGTTAGACCCGCTTTCTCCCATGGAGGAGCATTGGGGTCAACTTGACTCCTAGACCGGGAACCTCCTCGGCGTCTACCGGTCGCCTTACCTTTTTGTGCTGAGGCAGCAACTACTCCACCCCTGAAGTCTCTACGCTGCCTGCCTCTGAACCTACTCCCGCCTGGAAGTCGTCTTCCAACTCAATGGTAGAACCATCGTTGTGGACGAACATGATGCGTCCCTTCACCTTCCAGTTGGGAGGCAGTGACTTCTTCCCTCTGTTGGCGGAACAAGAGTCTGTCGCCCTCCGGTCCTAATGCCAAGTGGGCTATCGGGGGTCTCGCTGATCGCAGGATCCGGTCGTCCTCTCTAGTTTCCTCCCTGTCGCTCATAGGCTACAACATTGTACATTGTCTGCACTAGGTCACACTCGATGCCTACCGCAACATAATGTACAGACGGATTTAAAATAAATAAAATAAATAATCGGTGGCTATGTCAGAGATTACACATTTGGGTCCAACAGGTAAGTTCAGATTCCTACAAACGAAACTACTTTGACTTTGACGAGTTCGCACACAGAAAGCACAATGAACAGAGAAACAATTCTAACTATGTTGTCTGTTTGCAGAATGGAATCTTGCCCGAACTTATCACCTGGAATCTACCCCTTCCTCAGTTCTTCCTGAATGTCTCTTGTCAGCAGCGTCCCTGAGCAATCAGGAACAGCGTGCATGTCTAAAGGTGTGCACACGGCCCACCCCTGTGCCCCGAGTCCTGCTGAGCTGGCCAGCCCTGCACCGTATTTATCCTCGTGTGCAGCGAGCCTTACACCGACCGATTGGCTGATCAGGAGGCGTTTTTATGGACGGCCCCCGACGTCCTCAGGAATTATTTAACGTCGCAAACAGGACGACGATCACAGCCAATGGAAGGTCCCCGCCGGTACTTATTTATAGACGTCCAGTTCTCGTCCTTCCCATAGGGCTGACCTGCCCCTCATAACCCCTCTATAGCGCAGCGAGCAGACAAAGGACAAAGCAGCAAAGCATGCGTGCTCTACTCCCGGTGGGTTGGCATGGTGACCGTGACCCAATGCTTCGTCCAGGGCCCTTCAGATAGCACCGCCCTCTCCTTCCAGATGCTCCACGTGAATACTGACGACTCTCAAAGTTGAGCGCATACGACTCCTCACATGAGAGGACTCTCAAGACAGAACACACATCCTTACGGTGTCGAAGAGGGTAGATAAGGTCCGGTGCAACGTACCTCAAAATAGCTGCCCCCAACCACATATATTCTCACCAGATGACCCGATGTTGATTGTGATGGCCAATCGCTGCTTCGGCACAACCAGCATTGCACCGTCGTTCCACCTCAGCATCAATCACACATCGGATAGTTCTCATCACACTGCGAACACCCAATATTCACCACGTAGCCTTCCTGGCGATCCCCTCTCCACTTGGGTCGCCTACTTGCCTTCGCCCTCCTCACTACACACTCCCTACGGTAGCTCGCCCAGCATACCACATGCATGTACCGCATAGGCAGAAGACAAGCGCCAGATGAGCGCAACGTACCACAGCTCTGATAACAAATTGCAAGGAAAATGAGCGATAGCGAACATCAGAAACCAAGCAGCATCATACACATGATTCCAGATAGTCGTGACCTCGAACAAAAAGCAGAATTGCATCACGAGTCCCACCAAATAATAGTACAACGAAAGCTCATAAGTGACAATGTTCGAGTAGTCTCATCATCATCAACAAAGAACCAACGTCAACATCCTATCTGGCGCTCGGCGCCCAGACTACAAATGGCAGATGCTATCTACCCTATCTACAAGGCCGCTGGTGACGCCAACAGCTCCACGAAGTACGAGCAGATCTCGGCCAATGCCGTTCGCTTCAAGCACCAGGTATGTCTCTCGTATCACTCACAACCTCGTTCCCCAACTCACAGATGCCACATGCACCCAAGAACCACCATGCGCCCCATCCAGCATGCAGCAGCGCAGCTCGGCTATGGCTGCCTGCTCCTTCCAGCTCGCCCGTGAGCGCGTGAGCGCTGGCCAGCCTTAGCGCAGCAGCGCTTGCACAGCATGCAGCCAGTGCCCGAATGCCAAATGCGGAGGCAGGCCCTTTCCTAAATGGAAGTGGCCTGCCTGCTGCTGCGGCCAGGCTGCGCTGGGGCCCTCGCCCGGAAGCTTCCGGTAGGCCCGACTGGCTGAGCCCCAGTCCATCCAGAACAGGCCCAGGGCCTGAGTTAGTTGCCCGTACCCAACTGCCCACAGCCTGTGTTTGGTCCGTATACGCGTCTGGCCCAGGGTGTACTTCAGATACATTTGCAAAATGGATGCCTGGGCCTGGGCGCTTGTAACCGACTGACGCCGCGCAACTGTCTGAATTTCCCCAGTTGCGTGGAGGCCTGAAAAACGGGCCCTAAGGCCCTGGTCGAGCCTGCCTTCACTTAGGGCGGCTGACAACACTGCAAACAGGGCCAAAGGGGCTCATCGGGGCCTTAGGCCTCGCATTGCCATCTTCCCATCCTTCCCCCAAGACATTGCACCCTCATCCTGACTGTATTGGACCAGAAAAGATGACTGTATGCATTCATAATCAGGGTGCATTATGGTCTGGGGAGGGTGGTAGTAAGTGGCAAAATGGGGAAAAGCTCCTCTGCAGAGTGCCCACCATTACACTAGAGGAAGAAGTTTCACAGCAGCACCCCTTCCTCCCCCCCAAAAAAGGATGATACATGAGGAAAAGCTCCTCTGCAGAGCGCCCACCATATACACTAGAGGAAGAAGTTTCACAGCGGCACCTCCCCCCCCCCCAAAAAAAAAAGCATGATAGCTACTTAGAAAAGGGCAAAGAAAAGGAAAAGAAGTGAAAAAGAGGGACATCCATCAAAACTGGAATGATACAGAGAAGATTACCATGGCCCCTGTGCAAGGTTGACACACAGCTCAAGAAATGGTCTAATTTTTTTCGAGGGGGGGGGGAAAGAAAAGGAAGGGGAACAAAAAAAAGGGACATCCCCACATAAGGGACGGCATAGAAAAGGGAAGAAAGAACTGTCCTCTGCAGGTCAGGTCAGGATGAAATTAAGGTAACATTAACGTTACAAGAAGTGGAGAAAAGGAAAAGACAACGGAATGGGGAATCCAGCTCGTCCATACCCGCTCCAGGTTGTTTTGCACTGCCGCTACCCGCTTGAATGCTCTCTCTGATTCCAGAGTTCTCACTCGCAACTTCAGATCACCTTGCTCCTGGACGAGTTCATTCCAAGCCAACGTACATCCACCCACCCACACCCAGTCACAG